GAGACCGCTACCCACGGCCGTGGCTCTGCTGGGCCGCCGCCGCCGCCCGAGCCTCAGCTTCAGCCCGCACCGGCGCCGCCCGGCCCCGCCCCATCCGCGCCCAGCCAGGCGCGCGCCGTAGTCGCGCCGCGGTTGCCAGGGTGAAAGGGCGGCACGCCGAAGGGAGGGGGCGAGGAGCGCCTTGCGCACGCGCCCTGCTGCCAGGCGGGCTGCGGCGGGGTGGGGAGGGGGCCTGGTTATCCTGCGCGCCGAGCGAGCCGCAGAGGGAAAGGGGTGCTCGCCCTTCTGTCCCGCCGATCGTTTGAAGAAGCCCCTCCCTCTTTCCCTCCATCCTTTTCCCTCCAGCGCGCAGGCCTTGAACTGGACCACTGGGCGTCCAGCAGCCGCGTCCGTGGGGAGGGCGGGGGAAGGAAAGCTGTGGCCCTGGGGATAGATCAGCCACTTCTCCACCCGGCAACCTTCTGAAGCACCTCCTTACACTAGCCTTGGAGAAGCAACTGGGGCAAGCCAGGCCCAGCTGTCCAGTGAGAAAGAAAGGGCGGGGGACGTAGTGGAAACATGGGGAAAGCCTTGTAGAAACGTGACAGAAACTTGGGAGACAGAAACTGTGAAGCCTGGGAGACCTTCCCCAGAGAGCCCCCTGGGCACCTTGCTGTCTCTGACTTTGAGCAAACGAATACTCTCCCTGAGCCTGTTTCATCTTTGGTGAAACACGAGAAATCATGCTGACTTTGCAAAGCATTGTGAAGATTACGTATTGGAAGTGCCCCCTATGTAGTTAATGTTCAGTATTTATGGTTATGGTAGGAATCTAGAACCTGTTCCGTCTGGACTAAGACGACAGTTAGAAACTAGAAAAGGTGGGATGATAGGCTTGAAAATGTCCTTCCCCAGGCAGACAAGTCTCATCTTCCATTTTCATGACTGGAGAGGCTCAGGAAAGTTCAACTGGACAACCACGTATGGTGAATGAACAAAGGAAAAAATACATTGCATACCTGTTAGGTCCCAATTCTACGCACTGAGAATCAGCAGTGACTAGGCACTTCATGGGAAATAGATGGGGAAACAATGGAAACTGCGTCAGACTTTATGTTTTTGGGCTCCAAAATCACAGCAGATGGTGATTGCAGCCATGAAATTAAAAGACGCTTACTCCTTGGAAGGAAAGTTATGACCAACCTAGACAGCATGTTAAAAAGCTGAGACATTACTTTGCCAACAAAGGTCCGTCTAGTCAAGGCTATGGTTTTTCCAGTGGTCATGTATGGATGTGAGAGTTGGACTATAAAGAAAGCTGAGCACCAAAGAATTGATGCTTTTGAACTGTGGTGTTGGAGAAGACTCTTGAGAGTCCCTTGGACAGCAACGAGATCCAACCAGTCCATCCTAAAGGAGATCAATCCTGAGTGTTCATTGGAAGGACTGATGCTGAAACTGAAATTCCAGTACTTTGGCCCCCTCATGCGAAGAGTTGACTCATTGGAAAAGACCCTGATGTTGAGAGGGATTGGGGGCAGGAGGAGAAGGGGATGACAGAGGATGAGATGGCTGGCTGGCATCACCAACTCGATGGACGTGAGTTTGAGTAAACTCCAGGAGTTGGTGATGGACAGGGAGGCCTGGCGTGCTGTGATTCATGGGGTCGCAAAGAGTCGGATACGACTGAGCGACTGAACTGAACTGAACTGAGGCAATTTATATACAAATATAAAAAATATACATCTATACACACACACACATATATATATGAGGAGGTTAATTTTTCACAGAGAAAAATTACATAGGGTAAATAGACTCAGAATTGTGTGGGCTCCATTTTCAGTAGGAGGGTCAGGGAAGGCCTCTCTCAGGAGTGACATGAGTGAAGTGAGTGAAAGATTAAGCATACAAACATCTGGAGAAGAGTATTCTAGATAGAAGAAACAGCAAATACAAAGGTCCTAAGAGGGCATGCGCTCTATGTTTCAGAAATAACATTTATCCTACAAGGCCATAATTATCTCTGTAGATGATCTCCCCAACTATACCTGTGAGTTGAGATGTCTTTTACCCGTATCTGTATGTATCCCCAGCCCAGGGCCTGCCATCTATTATGCATTCGCTAAATTCTTTTTTAACTGGACAGACACATACAAGAAATGGGATGAAAAGAACCAGTTCAGGCTAAGCAGGTTGTTTTTGAAGGCCAGGGTCCAGAGAGGGCCTGTGTGCAGTTTTGCTACTGTATCTGAAAGCAGTTGCCTGCAGTCTTGCAGAGAGAGATGCTGCTCCTTCTGTTGGTACCAAAGGAAAAGAGCCTGCTCTCCGAGCTGCCCGGTTCCATGAGGAGAGATGAGAACAGCCAGCCACCCAGCAGCTAGCACACTGCTGCAGCAACGCAGGCATCTCCACAGTGCACATGCGCTGCAGCTGAGTCAGTTTCCCAGAGGGAGAAATGACGCCTAGAGACTGAAGAACATCAGAGGTCAAGCCACCAGACTGTGAGCTCCCGAGTCCTGACTCTGCCTGCACCCTGGGACCCACCACTAAGAGAAGAAATAGCATTTAGCACTGTCCTAGTTCTCTTGCTGCAAGAACTTCAGCTCACTATTGTCAGAGAGCAACTTCTGGGTACTCCAGGTCTGATGGGCTTAACCACAGGGGGAGGCTTTAGAGACCAATGTGAGAGCTGAAATGTGATCACCAGATTCTGTCCCAGGCCATATCCCAGCAGCTCACTCCTGGCCCCATGCCTCCTCGCTCCTCTAGTTCTTTCCCTGCAGCCCTGCCAAGAGCCTGCAGCTTTTGACAAGACTGCCACCCCATTTGACTTCTGCCCTCACCAGATCTCTGTCCCTGGCCAGTCTGGCTCCCCTGCCCAGCTTCCCAGGCCTTCTGCTTCTCCATCATCCTCATCTGTAAACAGCTAGTGTCTTCTAGCTGTGACTTCTGTCTTCCGCAGCCCATAGAGCAGTCACTCACCTAGCTGGGCACTGTCTGCACCCCGCCCCCCTCCCGCTGCTTCTGGCCTATGGGCAAGTTCTTTGCCTCTTCACAGCCAACTCAGTTTAGATAATTTCAAAAGTAGCTTTTCTAATAAACCAAAGCCCTTGTTCTTAAGTGTAATCTCCAGACCAGCTAAATCAGCACTACCTGGTAACTTGTTAGTGATACAGATTCTCAGGCTTCATCCCTAGACCTACTAAATCAGGATCTCCAGGGGCTGAGGTCCAGGACTTAGTGTTTTAACAAGCCCTCTGGATGAGTCCGATGCACACTAAAGTTTGGTCACCATTAAACTAAGTGAAAGCAAATTGGGTTTTTTTTGGGAAAAGGGAACTACAAAAGCACAAAAACAGATGACTTTTCAACACTTGGGTTTCTGATTCTAAGATAGTGTATCTGGTCATGGATATTCATTTGAATGAGGTTCCCGGGCCTCCAGGACCACCTTTCCGACAAAATATCAATTTAGGATAGCCTCAGTATTGGCACTACTGATTTAAAGTGTCTGGCAAAATTGTCTCTTCCAGAACACCTATTCTGTCTTGTCAAGGCATTGCCAGCAGCCCTGAGTTCCCTTGTAAGTTCTGGGATCTCCCATCTCTTGGGAGAGAAAATGTCTTCCCTTAAGTTTCTTGCCAACAGGCTTTCCCTTTGAGAGTCAGTACAGGGCATCACCCTGGAGTCAGCTGTCTGAACTTTAATCCTCACACTGCCACTTACCAGCTGTATAGTCTTTGGTGAGTCATTTAACCTCAATAAGCCTCATTTTCCTCTTCTGTAACATAGCGATCGTAATGGTAGTAACTCCTAGATAGGTTTGTTGTGAGGATTAGAGGAGATTATGTATGCAAAATGCCTGACTTTGTACACATTTAGTAAATGATAGCTGTTACTGTTATTACTGCCCTGTACATCATATCCTTCTGTACCACCCTGGTGTGGCTTTCTCCCTCTCGATCTCTGGGCCCTTAGAAGTCCTGTGCTCACCCCTAACCACTTTTCACTGTCATACCCTTTTCTGAAGCATAATCACTGGACAGATGCTGCTTTTTGTTGAAGCCAAATCTTTACCCATTACTCCCTGTTAATAATCTGGCCTGAGTCTTGGCATACACCACATAGCCTGGGAAAATCCTGAGCTTCTCTAAGCCTCAGTTTCTTCAGCTGTGAAATGGTCATCATAACAGTACCACCAATAAGAGTGGTTGAACGGATTGAATGAGAGAATTCCTGTTAAGTTTTAAGCACAGTGTCTAGTACGTAATAAGCATTCAAAAAAAAAAATTAGCTTTTATCATCTCTTCCCAACCACAGACATCTAACTCATTCTTTTTTCTTTGCTGCCCTCTTCTAACCAAAAATAAATTCACCCAAAAGCCCTGGAACCCCTTGGGACTCAAGAGTATGGCTTCTGATCCTAGAAGCTTTCATAGCGGGGAAAGGATGGTTCTGTTCTGACGTGAGCGGGTGCTCTGTGGAGTGGTCTAGTGCCATACTTGGAGAGCTGTAGTCAAAGTGGGAAGCAATCACAGATTTGATGATGGGCCTGGAGATCATGTGAGAAGAGGCGCAATTCAAGCACCCGTGAGTATTTAGCCTGGAGAAGAAAAACTCAGAGAGGACAGTTTCATTTACTTCAAATCTCTCTAGGGCTATTGTGTTTAAGAGAAAGCTGGCTTGTTCTCTAGCCTCTGACAGATAGAATTAGACCCAGTTTTGTGGAAGCTACAAGAAGATAGATTTCCACTCAACCAAAAGTTCAGTTTTCTAACAGAGCCATACAGAACTGGGATGGATTTTTGTTTGGTAGGGAGGTCCCCATCAGTGGAGGTATTCAAGCAGAGGCTGGGCATTTGCTTGTCAGAGCTGTCCTAGGGGGATAAGGCACTGAAAAGACAACTGGCAGAGATGGCCTTTAACATCTTTCTGAACCCTGAGGTTCTTTCACTCTTCAGACTAGAGGCCAATAACTATGCATCTTCTTCCTGACTCTGCTCTGCAATTGTACTCACCTTTGGAATGCACTCTGAATCTCTTCTCCCCACCTCCACTCTTAAAAGATCCATTGCAAGAGGTGCCACTCCTTCCTGGGAGAGGGCATGAGAGGAGGAGTTAACTAATCTGTAGCCATTATGATGTTACTATGTTACAATCCCTTCTTCATGAACCCATGGCCTGTTTTATGCTAGAGTCCTGGGACACTGAGATAAGTGAGGTCTGGAAGAAACAGGTGTTTCCATCACATCCTGTCTTGGATCTGGAAATGCCCCTCACTTATCATGTTCATGGTTCACGTATTGCTGAAGCCTGGCTTGGAGAGTTTTGAGCATTACTTTACTAGCGTGTGAGATGAGTGCAATTGTGTGGTAGTTTGAGCATTCTTTTGCATTGCCTTTCTTTGGGATTGGAATGAAAACTAACCTTTTCCAGTCCTGTGGCCACTGCTGAGTTTTCCAAATTTGCTGACATACTGAGTACAGCACTTTCACAGCATCATCTTTTAGGATTTGAAATAGCTCAACTGGAATTCCATCACCTCCACTAGCTTTGTTCATAGTGATGTTTCCTAAGGCCCACCTGACTTCACATTCCAGGATGTCTGGCTCTAGGTGAGTGTGAGTGATCACACCTTCGTGATTATCTGGGTCATGAAGATCTTTTTTGTACAGTTCTTCTGTGTATTCCTGCCACCTCTTCTTAAATATTTTCTGCTTCTGTTAGGTCCATACCATTTCTGTCCTTTATTGAGCCCATCTTTGCATGAAATGTTCCCTTGGTATCTCTAATTTTCTTGAAGAGATCTCTAGTCTTTCCTATTCTATTGTTTTCCTCGATTTCTTTGCATTGACCGCTGAGGAAGGCTTTCTTATCTCTCCTTGCTATCTGGAACTCTTCATTCAGATGGGTATATCTTTCCTTTCTCCTTTGCCTTTCACCTCTCTTCTCTTCACAGCTATTTGTAAGGCCTCCTCAGACAACCATTTTGCTTTTTTGCATTTCTTTTTCTTGGGGATGGTCTTGCTCCCTATCTCCTGTACAATGTCATGAACCTCTGTCCATAGTTCATCAGGCACTGTCTATCAGATCTAGTCCCTTAAATCTATTTCGCACTTCCACTGTATAGTCATAAGGGATTTCATTTAGGTCATACCTGAATGGTCTAGTGGTTTTCCCCACTTTCTTCAATTTAAGTCTGAATTTGGCAATAAGGAGTTCATGATCTGAGCCACAGTCAGCTCCTGGTCTTGTTTTTGCTGACTGTATAGAGCTTCCCCATCTTTGGCTGCAAAAAATATAATCAGTCTGAATTCAGTGTTTTAGAAAAGGCAGAGGAACCAGAGATCAAATTGCCAACATCCACTGGATCATCGAAAAAGCAAAAGAGTTCCAGAAAAACATCTATTTCTGTTTATTGACTATGCCAATGCCTTTGACTGTGTGGATAACAATAAACTGTGGAAAATTCTGAAAGAGATGGGAATACGAGACCACCTGACCTGCCTCTTGAGAAATCTGTATGCAGGTCAGGAAGCAACAGTTAGAACTGGACATGGAACAACAGACTGGTTCCAAGTAGGAAAAGAAGTATGTCAAGGTTGTATATTGTCACCCTGCTTATTTAACTTATATGCAGAGTACATCATGAGAAATGCTGGGCTGGATGAAGCACAAGCTGAAACCAAGATTGTTGGGAGAAATATCAATAACCTCAGATATGCAGATGACACCACCCTTATGGCAGAAAGTGAAGAAGAACTAAAGAGCCTCTTGATGAAAGTGAAAGAGAAGAGTGAAAAAGTTGGCTTAAAGCTCAACATCCAGAAAACTAAGATCATGGCATCTGGTTCCATCACTTCCTGGCAAATAGACGGGGAAACAGTGGCTGACTTTACTTTTCTGGGCTCCATAATCACTGTGAAGGGTGATTGCAGCCATGAAATTAAAAGATGCTTACTCCTTGGAAGGAAAGTTGTGACCAACCTAAACAGCATATTAAAAAGCAGAGACATTACTTTGCCAACAAAGGTTCATCTAGTCAAGGCTATGGTTTTTCCAGTGGTCATGTATGGATGTGAGAGTTGGACTATAAAGAAAGTTGAGCGCAGAAGAATTGATGCTTTTGAACTGTGGTGTTGGAGAAGACTCTTGAGAGTCTCTTGAACTGCAAGGAGATCCAACCAGTCCATCCTAAAGGAGATCAGTCCTGGGTGTTCATTGGAGGGACTGATGTTGAAGCCGAAACTCCAATACTTTGGCCACCTGATATGGAGAGCTGACTCATTTGAAAAGACCCTGATGCTGGGAAAGATTGGGGCAGGAGGAGAAGGGGACGATAGAAGATGAGATGGTTGGATGACATCACCAACACAATGGACATGGGTTTGGGTGGACTTCAGGAATTGGTGATGGACAGGGAGGCCTGGCGTGCTGTGGTTCACGACTGAGCGACTGAATAGAACTGAACTGAACTATCATGTTCAGAGGATGACCAAGGACTCAGTAAGCTTACCTGACTGTTGACCTTCTCTTTGTGAATGGGTGCTAGCCCCCAGCCCGGTCTCTCCAACACAGAGGAACAGGCTCACTGCTCCTAGTAAGAGCAGCCCCCCCCCCCCCCCGCATGTACTCTGAAGATGGTTGTGGACCTGATTGAGCCTGGGTGATTGAGACTAGAGAGAAAGGGCCCTGGTGAGTTGGCAGCACTTGTATTTCATTGGCTAAGGACCCAGACTCGGATACCAGACTGTCTGGTGCCAGTCAGTCAATGCCAAGTTTCCCACTTACCAGTGGTATGCCCTTGGGTGATCTCTTAGCCTGTCTGTACCCCAATGTTCGTATTTGAACAATGAGGGTAATAACAGTACCCAACTGAAAGGGTTGTCATGAAGAGAAATTACAATGTATATAAAGTGCTTACAATAATGCCTGACATATAGAAAGCACATAATATATGTCCACTATTATTCTTTTCTGCAATAAACCATTCTCCTGAGTACAGCACCAGGAAATAAGGGTTTCTGAGGTTTCTGAGCCCTTTGACACTCCCAGTGCCATTGCAGTCAAGTTCAGATGGTACTATGTCAGCATTTTCTAGAAACATGAGTCTCTTGAAATCCATCCCTCATTCTGAAGGTCAAGCTGAACTCTCCCCTGGCCACAGGAGATCGAAGACAGAAGGTGACAGGACTTAAGCTGTAAGGTTAGGACTTAAGCAGACAGGAAAGGATGAGGATCCTTCCCAAGCTAAGGAAACAGCCTGAGCAAAGGTGAAAAATTATGAGAAGAACAACTGGACAGAATGGAGATAGGAGTTAAAACAAATGGAAACAGCAGCCTTCAATGCCCAAATACGTGCGCAACATTATGAAAGCTCAGGAACATTTAAGAGATGAAATATTCTGTAGCCATGAAAAATTATCTTTATGAAAAATACACAGCAATGTGGGAGACAGTTTATGATAATACAATTTAAAAACAAAACCTTAGTCGGAATATTTTTTCTAAACAACTGGATAATGTCTTTTGTAGAAAAATATTAATAACTGAAACGTTCATAAATTCTTGTTTATAACTTTTAGCTTAGGTGAATCACATCATGTATGAAAACTCAGCCTGGTTTCCCATTATCACCCATAAGGATTATATGTTTACTTTTCTGCTTATATAAAAGTGAATCAAAGACAAGTTCACTGGCTTTGAAATATAAACTCAAATTTGGCATGACTGGCTCATGATTAAAAAAAGAATAAAAGGAATGGAGAGAGGGATTCATAGGGGTCAGATTGTTATGATCTCTAAATTCCAGGTTGGGGTGTTGGAATTTGAGTATTTTATAAGTGGGAAGCAACTTAAAAGTTTCTGAGCAGAGTTATTTCAGGAAGCTTGATTTGGCAGGTGAAATAGGAGAGACATGAGTGGGGAGAGTCTGGGCTGAGGAGTTGAGTGGGGACCCAGAGGCCCAGACCAGCCTTCTCCTCCCTGACCCTTGTCCTTCCCTGGTTCGGTCCCTATAGCCATCAACCCTCTCCTCAACTCCAACCACCGCCAGTGATGACCTTAGCAGTACAAATCTTTGTTTTTCAGTCAAATGGGAAAAAAATAATAAATTGGCACTAACAAGAACTACTGGCTCTCTTCCTCATCATGTAAAACAGGTGTCAGCAAACTTTTTCTAGAAAGGCCCAGAGAATCAGTGTTTTAGGCTTCAAGGGCCATATAGCCTCTGTCACAACTATGGAACTCTGCCACTGTAGAGAGTAACCAGCCTTGGGCAGTACAGAAAGGATTGGGCGTGGCTGTGTTCCCATAAAACTTGATTTGCTACAAGAGGTTGGGAGCCGATTTGACTCACAAGGCATAGTTTATCAACCTCTGATCTAAAAGAGCATTGTGTTATTTTTCCTAGAGAACACTTCTGCGATTCTTCAGTGCCTCTAAAGCCTCCGGATGCTCCCTCTCAGACACTTGCCATCATGCACTCGGCCATCCTCACCTTATTTATGAGAAGAATGCCAGTAAGAACATGGAGTGGGGGCAGCACTAGTGATCTCTGGAGCAGTGAAGAAAAGCAGCGTGTTAAAGTGAAAGGGCTTTAGATTTCTCTCAATTTGAGCCCTGACTCTGCCAACTGTGTGACTTTGTACACAGCGCATAACCTCTCTGAGCCTCCATTTGCTCGAGGGCAGAATGGAAATAACAGGTACAACCTCAGGCAACAGGGTTTGCATGAGGATTAAATGTTTGTAAAGCAGTAACAATTGGCACGGAAATGGCACTCAATAAATAGTTACTAACTCACACCGGCTTTATAAATAGCAGCCAAACAGAGCCCGCCTGCATGAGAATCCTCTGTGGACCCAGCCTTCAGGTCAGTACTGGCATGGAAGTGAGGCAGTGGGGACCTCCGAACAAACACAAGCCTAGATAAGAAGGCAACACTAAATTTCAAGACGCTGCTGCAACACATTTGTATCAAATGCTTCTGATGAATCATTTATTAGGCAGCCGCACTCTACCAAGTCCTCTTGGCTACTGGTGGCTGGGATCATGGTCACAGGCTTCCATTGAAGTAATAAGATCCTGCTCTTCATCCATAGACTCTCAACAGCTGGTGAGTGGGAGAACCTCATGTAAACAGCCTCCTCTGAGTCCATTCTTCCGGACTCCTGGGACCAGTCACCTTCGCCTCAGCTGAAAAATAAACACATCAAGATAATGAATGCATCTCTCCTAGGGGAACACGACACAATGAAAAGCAATCAATAACAAGAAATAGTGTGGGATCATCTTTAGAGAAGACACTGTGAAATGTAAGAAGGCTCAACATGCACACACACAGACATACACAGAGAGAGACATACATTTAGATTAACAGACACACATTTATATTAACTATTAAGAAAGAGATATGAGAGCTTGGGTTCAAATCCTGATTTGGCCCCCTTATGAGCTGTTCGTTTCTGGGTAAATTATTCAACTTCTGTGCCTACATTTCCCCATGTGTAAAATGGAGACAATCATGGTATATCCCTATTTAGGGTTGCTGTGAGGATTAAATGTGTTAGAACAGTGCCTGACAGTAATGAATGCTAGGTTAGTGTTTGCCATTATTGCTTTCAGTATTATTCTCTCATAAAGACGTTTTCAGAATAGCTGAACAACTGAGTCAAACCCATAAAGAATGAAATTCAAAACTAATCTGAAAAATCTGATTCTGTGATACTGTAAAAGACCCAAACCTGAAATTCAAATAAAACTTTGAATTTCTCGCTCCCATGACTCAGTGATGGGAGAGATTAGACTAGAATGATGGGTGTTCCTGTCACTGAGTTCAACTCAACAGCGACTGAGTGAACGCAGCAAAGTTGACAGCTATGCTGTGGTTTGTAAAAGAATGTCCTAATTCTCAGGAAATATACAATGAAATAGGACTAAAGTCTGTATGCAAATTACTCTCAAGTAGTTAAAAATGTTAAATGTGCATACATTTATGTATATTCATATATACCTAGAGAGAGAAACATTTAACAATAGATGTGACAAGTCTATCAGCATACTCTTTTTATTCTTGCAAGTTTTCTGTAAGTTTGAGTCCTTTCCTGATGAAAAGTTTTTAAAAATCCGTTAGGATGGGATAAAAATCAAAAACAAGCATTGACTCGGGTTTGACTAGCAAACAAGTACTGAGCTGATGCAGGACAAGCAGAGGCAACAACACACAGACCTGACGAAGACTAAGAACCGCGGCCCTGGGACAAGGAAAGGGGATCTGTGACCTCAGATGTCTGATGGAATAAGGCTAACTGGGATCGTCCGATATAGCCGTCTGCACGATAGACTCTGCTTGTCCCCAGGTGCCTGAAAGAGGTTGTATGAGGCACTAAGAGTAACATTGCTTGAAACCTTTGCCCTAAGTTTCATTTTAGGGGTTTAGTCTTAATGCTTTTGTTTCACCTGCCAATTATCACCTCTTCACTGATACCCCTACTTCAGCCTCTCTTCAGCTTCAATCCATTTTGCAGACTGCTCATAGAACAAATCCCTCAATTGTTGTTCTCACTGTATCACCTCTTCACTCAAGAATGTATAGTGACTTCCTATTTTCCACAACCAAAATCTAAACCTTGCTGTCTTATAAGTTCCATACTTTATGGTTTTTAAGTATTTTGATTTGCAGTTTCAACTTTTTTCTCTGTCGCTGAAAATAACAGAACCTGGGACTCAACTGATATCCCTTAGTGGTTGATGCTTAGTTGCAGTCATGTAGCCTGAATACTAGACTTATGCCAAGCTGTGATTTGTCTGAGATTGAGATAATAGTTCTTTCCTCCTATATATATTTTAAATTTAAGTAAAATTTTAAATTTTAGAATAGATTTAGGTTTACAGAAAAGTTGCAAAGATACTACGGAGACTTTCCATATCCTTCACATCCAGCTTCCCCTATTATCAACATCTTATATCACTATGGTACCTTTATCACAATTAATGAACACACTGGTACATAATTATTAACTAAACTCCATACTTTATTCATATTTCTTTAATTTCCCATAATGTCCTTTACTATTCCATGATTCCATAACATTGCAGTTAGCTTTCCTCCTATTTTTAAAGTTTAGAATATTATTTAAAAAGCCAAACATAAACAAAATGTATAGTCTAATTGAATAAGATCTGATATGACACTCTGATGCAATATCTTTCCTACTAACCTTGAACATGAAAAAACTCACAACATCTAACTCATCCCAAGGCGTGATTACAACATTCATTTTGAGGCTTCCTGAGTTTTCTCTTTGTGTTAGATACCTTGGGAACCCAGAATGTTCTTCTCAGATTTCGTGTCCAACTACATCTAATCAGCTGATCCAAGAAATCCTTGCTTCCTCTACAGTATAAAGGAATTCTTTACACAGTAACTCACATGGAGATTCCTGAAATCTCACTTGACACAAGCACATAGTGTAAATTGAGCTTTCACTACCACCTGTGGGAAGTACTTCAGAAACATCACCACTGTGTTATTCTCTCATGGGCCAGGAACACTAGCGTCCTGTATGGAAAACTATGGTGCCAACTGCCCTTAAGCTGCCAGTGAGTTTTCTCTGGTTCAGTTAAAGGGAGTCTGCTCACTCTGCTCCTAGAGCTCATTAACCCATGGAACTAATTAGCAGGCAAGGTTTAACTGCTCTTTTGAGCCTCCCATTTGACAATGGATCTGCATTCTTTCCGACACTCTCATCTTTCTCTGCATAGCTGAAGTAGAAATAAAAAGTTTATGATTAAAAAAAAAAAGTTTATGATAACATCTAAGCAAGTGGCCATGTTTTTCCCATCAGGAATAGGTAATTTCCCCTTCTCTTTCTTGAGGAAGAGGCATCACACAGCTTCTTGGGAGAATTTATTAGGTGGCACCTAAGTTTAAATACAGTAATCCTTTAGCATCTTAGGTTTTGAAGTTCCCCTGTCTCTTAGAAAACCCAGTATAAAATTAAAGGGAATTTTGAAAAAAGAAAAATAGTCATAATTTTGCTGTCCTAGCATATCCATTTTCAGGCTTATGACTTCCCTTTTTGTCTTTGTCCACAGCTTGTGTTGTTTTCACCCTGCATCATATTACACACATTTCCTGTGTTTCTGGTATTCATGTATTTTTCAATGGTTGCATAATATTTCATTAATTAGATGTGTAATTATTATTTAAACATTTCCCTAAGTGCTCTATGAGGGCAAAGACTTCTGTTTTCTTCACCACTGTACCCTCATCATTTACAGAAATGCTGGGCTTTCCAGATGACTGAGTGGTAAAGAATCCATCTGCCAAGCAGGAGATGTGGGTTCGATCCCTGAGTCAGGAAGATCCCCTGGAGGAGGAAATGGCATCGCACAGTCCAGTATTCTTGCCAAGAAAATCCCATGACAGAGAAAGCCTGGTGGGCTATGGTCCATAGGATGGCAAAGAGTCATTCTCTACTGAGCACAGATGGACAGGCACCCTCATCATTTAGAACAATGCTGGCAAAAAGTAGTTCTCAGTACATGTTTCTTGAATAAAAAGTAAATTCAAATGGTTCAAATTCTTTTTCTCATTTATTATTATGTTCAGATTTCATCACGCCTTCTTTTGATTATTAATTTTTTCTCATTGTACCTCCATGAAATAATGGTTTATCATGATTATTTTCTATTTTTTATGTAGAAAACATTGAGTGACTGATTTTCTTTGGTGATGATGATTGGTATGATTGCATGTAAATCCCTTGCATATCTGAAGTGTCTTTATTCTACCGTCATATTTATTTCATCGTTTGAATAGATCATAGAGTTCTATGATCATTTTCCTCTGAATTTTGCAACTGTCTTTTCATTTACTTTTAGCTTTCAGTGCTCTCTTGGAAAAGCCAACATTGTTCTGATTCTTGACCCTTTTCCTAAGTATGACGTTTCTCCCCTTCCTTGTCTTTCTCTTCCTCCCTCCCCTCCCTCAACCTCTGTTCTCTGAATCTTCCTCTTTTTTAAAAATATTTATTTATGTATTTATTTATTTGACTGCACTGTGTCTCCGTTGCAGCACACAGGATCTTCGATCTTCATTGCAGCATGTGGGATCTAGTTCCCTGATCAGGGACTGAACCTGGGTCCCTTGCATTGGGAGCACAGAGCCCTAGCCACTGGACCACCAGGGAAGTCCTCTCCTCTTAAATAACACAACTTTTTAATGAAAACAATCTTCTCTGAAAGTGTTCTTACACTTTGCAGTCTGTTTCCTCCAAGTTATTTTGTTGTTGTTTTCTTTTTATGTTAGTCTTTCATGGTAGAGTCTTGCCTTAGGGGTCTAGTAGTTATTAAGAATGGGACACATGTGGTTCATCAGCATAGGAATTATATCCGCCTTGTTTACCCATGTATTCCCAGACCTGGCCATTCCTAGTACCCATCAGAAGCTCAGTAAGAACAAATAAGAGGGATGGATGGATGATGTACAGGTAGATGGTGGCTGCCTAGATGATGGATAGGTGGGTGGACAGTGGGTCTAAATTCCATCATGTTCCTTTGTCATTAGGAATAAAGACAACCAAAAATTTAAATTCCTTTAAAAAAAAGGAATGGGGCACTCAGTATGTTCAATGCCTCATAATAACCTATAATAGGAGAGAATCTGAAAAGGAATATATACACACACACATATATATGTACATGTAGTACAGATGGACGACTGAACCACTGCACTGTACACCAGGAACTAACACAACGTTGTAAATCAGCTATGCTGCCGCTGCCCATGCACAACTGCGGCTTCAGTTGTGTCTGACTCTGTGGGACCTATGGGCTGCAGCCCGCCAGGCTCCTCTGTCCATGGGGTTCTCTAGGCAGGACCACTGGAGTGGGTTGCCATGCCCTCCTCCAGGGGATCTTCCCCGTCCAGGGATCAGACCTGGGCCTCTCACACTGCAGGTAGATTCTTTACGGCTGAGCGACCAGGGAAGCCCGTAAATCAGCTGTACATCAATTTTAATAAAAAGAATAGGGTGCTAAAAACGAATGGAAAGCTTTTTATTTGTGGGTAGGTGTTGGTTTTGAAGAACTTCACTACAGGATGATTCGGCTGGGCCATTTCGTTGGAGAACTCCTGGTGTTAACACCTTTGGGTGTTTTTCCTTGGCCTACTCAGATTTCCCAGAGAATAA